TCTGGCGCTTTCTCGGTCACGTGGGCGCCCGGACCCGGGGAATATCCTGGGGAGGGGCCGCCCTGGGGCGTCCGGGTCCCGGCTCGGCTCTCTCCTCCCCGGAGGCTTCCACGGACGCGCGCCCCGGGTCCCCGCGAGGACCGTGTGGGGGAGCTCTGAGCGGGCTGGGGCAGGGGCAGCCTTTGCGGGGGGCCTGGGGGCAGGCCCAGGGCAGGAAGGAGGCGGAAGGGAAAACCTACCCGTGGACCACGAGCGGGAGAGCCAGAGCGGGACTGTGAGCTGTCAAAAGTGACTTCTCACCGGGCTCGGGAGGAGGGATCGAGGGTCCGAGGCACCGGCTCTTGCTCCACTCTCCTCTTCAGCCCCGGGGACGCCTCTCCCCAAGAAAAACAATCTCTGGGAGGCGGAGGCGACAGAGAAAAATGACCACTGGACCAGGACAGAATGAAGTTCAAATCCTCATCGGGAGGACGGAGCAAATTCGTGAAAAGCATAGCTGGAAAGATTTCAGACGATGCAAGTGTGGACGCTGTAGCAAGATGATTTTTAAGCCACCAAAGTATTTCTAGACTAAGCGGTAGCTAACTGCTCTGTGTCACTGTGATTTAAGATTCTCCTACACGCTACAGAAACCACCATCACTGAAAACACGCTGTATATGAAAGTACCTAAAAAGAAAGTAGGTCAAGGGGGGGAAACATCAATAAGGACTCCATTAAAAGTTACAACAAGGAAGAGAAATTGATGCTAAAAGAACGTGGTTGTCGAGAGTTATAAATTCAACAGCATTTTTTTCTGACTCTGCAAACAGAGATAGCATTCGGATTCATATCTTACTTAGAATCTGGAAAGAATGAATACTTGGCACTTGAACAAACAGTAGTACAAAAATTCAAGTGGTTAACCCTGAAGTTCAGAATAAAAAATATTTTGTTAGTCGCAGAAAATAAGACAAGAGGCTTATCTTTCTTACAACTGAGTGGTCTACAGAAATTCAGAAAACAATGGTATTGATGAGGCAACTAGTATTTTCACTCTCATATTCCAAGTATATTTTTCTAGTATGAGCATTTAAAATAAAAAGAATTCCTATTGTGTGCAGCATCCTCCTCCAAGCATTATTTCTAGCATTATTAGGAAGTGTTCTAATGATATGTTGTCCAGGATGAATGTTTTGTAATGCATCAGTGGCGGTGATGTTTTTGAAGTGCCTTTATGTAAGGTGAGTGGGCACAACTGAACCCTTTTGAAAAACAGTATCAGCTAAAATATTAGTATAGCATGTGTGCTGATACGTGTTAACAAGACAGGTTCTTCATATGTTTACCCATGGAAGAAGCTGGGGAGTACCTTCAAAGACTAAGGTACAAGTTATAAAGTATCACTGAGAACTGAAAATGCAACAATTAAGGTAGCTAGTGGATTTTAATATTTGCAGCTCGCTTTCCCAAGGTAAGTATTTTAGATATCCAAATCAGGTTTTCCCAAGTTATGTTATGATGCCAGTGAAAATATAAAAAGTGAGAATATGGGGTTAGCCAAATGTACCAGTAAGTCCAAGGACAGATAAGATATCAAAGGTAGGCAAAGTACATTTTCCCTTCAAGCATAATGGCTTACACACCTAGTTTATAGAAAGAGAGAAAAGAAAGGAAAATATATCCAAATGTTAATTTTTTTTAAATTGCCTGAGAATGTAGGTCATTCCCACCTCCTGCTCATGTTAGTCCTAAAACCTAGGAGGTTTGATTAGCAAATTGTTTCTGAGCACTATTACTGTCTTACAAACACCACTCAGCATGGATGACTAAGTCCTTCACTTGTATTTGGTATCTTTAAGGCCTACCCTCCCGTTCCTTCATTCCTCTGTTTCAGAGTGTAGAAATTTAATGAGTAAGAGTGAGTTGTGTAATTAATAATGATTTATTGAGTACTTATGTGGAGGCATTACTTGGTGGGAAAATCAAAGGTGAGTAAAAATATCCCTTCCTTAAGGAAATGCACAGTTTTGTGGAAGAGTGACCTGCAATGGTAATATATGCAATATAAGTGGCGTATTATGAAAATGCATGTAGAGTCAACGCAGAACATCAAAGTAGTCTAAGGTGCTAACTAGAATGTCCACCAAATCTCTACAGACGTGCAGGTTTTTAGTTAAATGGTAAGGATTGGATATACTATCCCTTGACAGATCGACTTTGCCTCCGAGATCTCAAAAATATCGTTCTTATTCATAGAGAAGGTGTGTCAACAAGTACAGGTGACTTATTGCACCTAAGTCCCAAGCTGCCACTTAAGGGGAATCATTATATATGTACTTACTGAGACGGTCCTGGGGGATTTCGGAGGCCCATTCCATTGAGAAAACAAGAATGAACTCCAGGGCCAAGAGACTCCGCGTCTCGGAGGAACTCTGTGCTGGTGCCCATTTTGGACACATTGCGATTGCTACAGGCGAGATAGAGCCATACTGGATCTTCGCTCTAGAGAGAGTTGATTTCAGAGGAAACTCTGGGAGAGAGAAACAAACCTTTACTCCACCCCCGCGAGCAGTAAAGCTGGGCAGACTCAGAGGGGACAAACGTGTCTGCCTGCAGGCCGCGCGCGCCTCCTTGCTTCCCTGCGCTGCACAGACCAGTACCGCACCGCTGCACATTTTCCCCCTTGAATTCTTGAAATAGCAGGGCCTAGGGACAGGATCGTAGCTGATTTGTGCCTGCAAGCAGAGCCAGGGGATCGCATCAGAGATGCATCCAGAGCTGCGTTTGCAGAGGGCCGATCGCTCAGGACTAAGGCCCAGCGGGTCCTTCCGAGCCCCGGTCCAGAGAAACCCAGCAGCCCGGCCCGGGCCCTGCGCGCGGGGAGACAGCGCGAGGCCAGGAGGTGGCGGAGCGCGCGCCGCGCCCTGGATCTGCTGTTTATCTTCCCCCTGCTCTCTCCCTGGGTGGGCCCTGGCGACCGAGAAGGTCCGCAGGACTGGAACCAGGCTAAAAGCTGACTCCGTTCTGCTCCGCTGACCCTGCGTGCGGATCCCCACTTGCCCGAGGCCAGACTGGGCTCCGGGCCGCGGTTCGGCGCGCGCTCGCCCAGCAGCCGCGTGGGTGCTCAGAGTCGTTGGTCCCGGGCCGCCGGCGCTCAGCAGCCTCAACCTCGGCATCTGCAGCCGCGGCTTTTCCACCCAGAGCTGCAAGTCAAGCCCGCAGAACGGCTGTGGTTCCGGGCCCCGGTGCAGCGGTTGCCCGGGGCGTCCAGGCCGAAAGATGCTGGAACCTCTCCAGGGCGCGGTGGGGCGTGGGGCCTCGGAAACCAACCGCGGGGCGTGCTGGAGTCTGTCCCGCGGAGGTCCCGAGGTCGGGGCGCGGGCGCTGCTGCCGGGCTCGCAGACTCAATCTGCTCACTTGCAAAGGGCCGAGCGTCCGGCCCCATACTGGCTGCCTCCTAGATCCCAGAAGTGAGGGCTGGCGTCTGTCTGGGGCTCGGTCCAGTGGAAAGTCCTCGTCAGAGTCTGGAAAGCAGTGCTATGCTCACTGACAGAAAAGGGGAACACGGGTTAAAGACCTAGTGGAATCGGTTAAAAATGCCACACGTATCCCAGGAACACATTTTCCTTGCGAGGAACGGCGAAGTGGAAACAAAATGTTGAAAACATGGGACAGGTGCTATACCACAGAATTGAAATTACCCCAAAGGCACCGGAAACATTGGACCCACATTTAAGAGGATTAATTTCAGTCCTTGAGTTCTTCCCAGAAAGATGATAGCACATACAGTTAAATGAACAGGTAATTACATGGGGAGGGATATTTGTATTGCCTGTTTGGATATTCTGTTTTCTTACCATCTGAGGAAAGGTCAGTGCGAATGAGAAAGTAATAACCTTTTATTTTCATTTTTAATCCACAATAGAGGATTTGTTTTTATTGATTGATTGATTGATTGAGAGAGAGAGAGAGAGAGAGAGAGAGAAACATCAATGGGTTGCCTCCTGACCTCACCCCAACAGAGCACCAAACCTGCAACCTAGGTATGTGCTCTGACCAGAATAGACTCCCCAGCCTTTTGATGTACCAGACCAGGGATCCAACCAACTGAGCCACCTGGCCAGGGCAAGAATAGTAACATTTTTAAAATGCTTTTAATAGAGCCCCAGGCCCTCAAACGTTTAAATTAACTAAGGTGAAAATATTTGAGAAATGAAGCAAAATAAAACCTTGTAACAAAATATTTGAGTTGGTTCACAGCATCTCTCCAAAGAAGCAAAGAAATAAATATAAAAAGTGCCTTTCTTTATTTATATTTCTAAGTTTTAATCACGGTATCTCATTGGAAATCCATCAGAAAATAGCATTTTTGTGGTGGAGAGTGTCCCATGCCCTTGAACTGCTGTTTATCTTCACACTTAAAGACATCAACTTCTTAGGAGTTTTGCTGATTTCAGTGATTCCTACAGACATATAGCAATAATAATGATAACAATTTAATAATATCATTTTGAGTATTTAGTATTATATTCATATACTGGAGCAGGATCAGTCCCACCAAGAACTTACCCTCTATCATACTTTTACAAAAATGTTCTCACTAATAGACTGTCCAACCTATGAGGGAAGGCAGGGAAGGGGCCGGGGAGGGGGTAAGAGATCAATCAAAAGACTTGTATGCTTGCATATGAGCATAACCAATGGACACAGACAGTAAGGGGGTGAGGGCATGTGCTAGGGGGTGGGGGTGGCCAAGGAGCGGTCAATGGGGGGAAAAGGAGACATATGCAATACTTTAAACAATAAAGAATTTTTTAAAAATGTTCTTACTATTTCTCTCCCCACAGCCTCATCCTCTCAAGTTCCTCTCTAACCAGAGCTCCTCTGTGAAGACTTCCTTTGCTTAGGTCGAGTGAAATCAGGATATAATATCTGTCAGCAGAGTAAATTTGGCTGACTTGTTTTGCTTTCCTTAGTACCCCTTCCCATACAGAAGTAACCACTCTTTAAAACTCTGGTATGTTTGATTTAGTACTTCCTGTATTTTGATTTGGAATCTGTCCTCATGCCTTTTATCATAGTCTATAGATAAGCCTCATTCACAAATTTGTAAGGCCTTTGAGGGTAGAGACTATGTCATATCTAGCCTCCCTTCTCTAATACCCTTTGGCACACTGCAAGGTAATAAGTAGTCAGGAAGTGCCCGTTGAACTAAATTCAATTTTGTTTACCTTTGGCAGTCATAGATATGTATTTATACCTATCCTCATTATCTAAAATATCCCAGACTTATCCAGGGAGATCAGATGTTCTCCAAACTACAGGAGCTTATTTATAACTATCTTTTAAATAATTCAAGGATCTATGTTTTATTAATGCAATTTTCATGATAAGAAGTTATAATAGTATTAGAGGCCCAGTGCACAAATTTGTGCACGGGTGGGGTCCCTCGGCCTGGCTGGCGATGGGGGGCCGATTTGGGTCCTCTCACCCAGTCCTGATCAGGACCAATCAGGGCCAGTTGGCCAGGGGGACGGACGGCGGGAGGTTGGCTGGCCCCGGGAAGTTGGCTGTGGGAGCGCACTGACCACCAGAGGGCAGCTTCTGCATTGAGCGTCTTCCCCCTGGTGGTAGGTGCACGTCATAACGACTGGTCATTTGGTCGCTTAGGCTTTTACTTAGAGAGATAATCAAAAGAAGACAAGAGATATGCTCAGTTGTTTCACTGTAACAGATGAACTGCAAAAATGTGGACTCTTGCTTTCTTTCCTTTTCACAAACTTAACCTGTGCTTTAGGCCTAATTCAACTTTGTCTTTGCTCTTACGTTGTGTGACAATATTGATTTTTAAAATCATCTTCTCAAGAGATTCTAGATCTCCAAGCCAATTGTTTTCTTAACATGACTGAATAATTTCTCAATTTCTTCACCATAGTATCTAGTGCGCTGCTTCATATGGGTCCTACTACCTTCCTAGAAACCTAAGGAGACAATAAGTATAAGATTACCTCTGACTTCAGGTAGGACTTATTCTTCAGGATCTGAGTTATCTTATAGAAGAACCTCTCAAACCTGAGCTCACTTAGACAATCTGAATGAAAAGCAGAAGCTCAGCCCACACTTCTAGAAAGTCTGACTCAGTAGACAGGATCCCAGAAATCTGCATTTCTAACCATCCCTTCAGGGTGCTTCAGATCATACTGCCCTGGACCTGTAGTTGTCTAATTCTGCTTTCCCTTCCCTTTCTTCAACTCAGGGCCCTTGCACCATTTTTTGTAACAAATTCCGGACCCCCCCCCCCCCTTTCTGGATTCACCCACCAATGGGCACAGGCCACTTTTTAAAAAAGTTATAGCCAGCTCTTCATAATTTGTTTGAATCACCCTAATTATCCAAAGCTTTTGTTTTGTGAATCATTTGGATCTTAAGCCCCTAGTTCAATGTTCGGCACATAGTAGGTGGTTTCTCAGTAGATGTGCATTTTCAACCCCTTAGTCATGCCTTCTCTAGCAATGCTCCTTGTTAAGCAGAACTTGATTACTTCTTAACAGCCCTATCAGGAAGTGTGTGCCAGAACAAGTGGAAGATACTTCAAAACCTTTCCTGCATTTATCTGCCTTATTAAAATGCATTTTTATACGCGTAAGGGTAAGTGGAGCAGAAAGAAACACTTCATTTAAATTTCAATCTGTGAACTCCATGGTTCCAGCAGTTACTGTCATTGTTAATGGGTATCATTAATTTTTAAATTATAAATATAATTCATGTTTGGGGAAATTTTTCAAGAAGTAAGGAAAGACATGAAGTAAAAAATAAAAATCCTCTATTCCTAACCTCTAGTCCCACCCTGTCACTAGACTCAGAGTTTATTTATTCTTAAGAAATTTTTCATATATATATATATATATATATGCATTTGTAAGTTACCACTCCACTTTCTTAAATAAATTGATTCATACCACTCATCTGGGTGGTGTTCCACTTTGTTCTTTTCCCTTAGAACAAAGGGAAATTTGCCATATCAGCATTATTTCTAATAGCCACATGGTATTCCACAGTATAAATGCGACAAATTAATTATTTATTTAACAGATATACTATTGGGTTATTTCCTTTTTTTCCACTCTAAAAATACTACAGTGCCCAGCTGGCATGGCTCAGTGGTTGAGCGTCGAATGAAGAGGTCAAAGTTTGATTCCTGGTCAGGAATATTAAGATGGAGCTAATGGCCCTGACTGGTGTGGTTCAGTTGGACTGAAAGGTTGCCGGTTCAATTCCTGGTCAGGACACATGACACATGCTCAGGTAGGGGGCAGGCAGGAGACAGCTGATAGATCTTCCTTCCTTTCTCTCTCTCTCTCTCTCTCTCTCTCTCTCTCTT